AAAACTTAAACATGATATTGATAATTAAAATAACGATCCTAAACATGATGTTAGCAAGAATAAATATTGTAAAATTAATTAAATCGACTTACTTCAATTGCGAAACCTTGAAACTACATCATGAATAAATGGTTAGTAATCTTCAATAAAATAATCAAATCGAAATAAATAAACTAATTAAATAAAAGAAAACAAATTAAATTGAGTTTAGATTGAAACCCTCAGGGTTTATAATCAACCTTTCACATCGTGGAATGCCAATAGAGCTTTGGGTTAAATATTGATGTCCAGGAACACTTGAATAAGGAATTTTGAAAGGTTTAGAAAGATGGAAGATTAAGACAATCAGGGGGCATTTGGTATCAACTTAGTAAAGGTAACGGAATGGAAACAAATTAGGAGGGGAAAGGGTAATACATAGTGTTACCCTTACTAGTTGTTTGGTATTACTAATTAAGGAAACGTAAACGATTAAGACCAATCCATTTCCTCTTGTTTGGCATGGATAACTTGGAAACAAATATCTTTCCTTTTATTTTTTGTTGTCTTTGCTAATTTTTGCTATACATTATGCAATGTAGAGCACCACTAATTGCCATAATATGTCATATGCTAGATATAGGAAAAGTCGCATAAATTATTGATTACAAAAGCATTTAAATTCTTGTGTTCCAAAAACAAAAAAAAAACGTATTCAAAATCCGTCGAAACATTAACTCCAATAACAACTTAGGATAAAATTTCTACTTCTTCTTAAGAAGATCAATCGCATATTGTTTCTTCATATTAGTTGGAGCTTGATAGAAGATGCGGAGCTTATGTTCTTCCGCCATGAGAATTGTAGCAACCTCTAAAGCCTCGGGTGGAGAAATTCCATCCAACTTCATCACCTCATCCAAAACCTTGTTCACTTTTTCATCCATCTTTTGCTCCCTTTCTCCCGCTTTAGCCCATGCACTAGCCGTAGTCCCGAGATTAACATTGATATTTTCAAATATCTTCCCAAAATTTTTGGATACATCATGGAAGGAGGCCACCAAATCATCATCATCATTTCTACACAAACTCTTCAAATCTACCTTGTTCTTTCCTTTCACCTTAGCCTCCTTCGCCTTTATAGAGCGTTTTCCAGATTGAGTAGTAGAATCACTTGCGGAAGAATGAATCGTAGAAGCCTTCACTTTTTCCATTTTTGAAGGAGTTGAATGATCATCCTCTATCTTCATGGGGCATTTTTCGGATTGATCTGTAGAAGAATAAGTGTTCGAATGAGAAGAATTCACATCATCTTCTTCATCACTCTCAACATTCAATGGTTGTTTATGAATCTCTTGATCCATATCTTCTATAGCATCAACGAACAACTCACTTGCGTCTCCGGTAGCTTTGTCTTTTGGATATATCTCCGTAAGAGTTTCATAGTGAATAAATGGAACTCTAAACAACCCCTTAGCTTTCTTATGAGTCTGCCATATAAGAGAATGCAACAAGTAAAAACATGTAAAAGTCTGATAGAGCGAAAGAAAAGGTAATCAAGAAATGATGTTGCTAATTGAACAAACATGAAAACAGAACTGAACCAGGCTACTGATATGTTAACAAGCTAAAATAAAATAGGATAGGACATGGAAATTGAAAGCAATAAACCTAATCAGCAGAAGTTATATGACTGCATAAAACCAAGAGAGCAGAAATTGGAAAAACAAATTCTATTATGGACAAATGGAAAATTAGTTTAGAAACTGCAGTCGGATGCCAAATTATGAAATAAACACTGCATATTTCAACTGCAATCTAAATCTACCAAGAAAATAATGGACAATTGATAAGATCTTCAATTTCAAAAAATTTAATTGACATTATCTGGCACCATATGCCCAACACCCTACATAACAGGTCTTGTAGAATGATTTGTTTGTAACTGATGTCATTGAAAGACGCAATAACCAATAAGGATCAGAAAATCCCCCTGATGTTTAGTACTTGAAATATTTGACTGTTGTCAAAACAGATTCAATCACAACTTCTTCATTTACTACAAATCAAAAACCAAAATAATACAAGCAGATAAAATAAAATAGGAGCAACAAACCAGACATCAACATTGAGAATTTAATTGCAAGAATAATTTTCATAAGATAAGCCCTTGACCAAGACCCAATTTCCTTAACCACAACTATCTTATAGACCAAGCAACACAACACGAAAACTAAGTCAATTTACAGCAAATTAACTACAAAAACATCCCCAATATTTTAACAATCCAATCAACCAACTGATTTACTACTTGATGGGTCAGACCATGGTAGACAAAAATCTCCTTCAACACTTTTGGACATGTAGGATAAGTTTTCACTTTTACGCAGTCTGCAGGAGGATTACAGCTATGCTATCAAACAATCACGAATAGGCAGTATAGTCCTACAAACCAAGTAGCACATCACCAGCACACATTATTCTGAGAACAAAAACAAAGAGGAAGTAAAGATCAATTCATACATTCACCGACTCGTCAAACACCGCCTTCTCTACTTGTAGCATTTTTTTCTCAGCATCCCATCCAAATCCTAAGATGGATAACTTTCATGGATAAAATCATTTTTACCTTTTAGTTTGTCTCTTTTCGTGGTTGCCCTAAATTAATTATGAACAATTTATAACTTCCTTAAAAACTTGTTGGCAACTCCCTACTTTTTGTCTCTAACCATTATAATGTCATATCCAAATTCTTACGATTACCAAGCATTTTCACACATGCTAAGATAGGTGCACTTCAATCGATGCCTAAACCTACACTTTCACCATTCTTTTTTTTTTCATACTCACTCGCTCTTTTAATCTCCCAAATATCCATACATTCTGCTATGCTAGTCAAAGTTTATTGTAGTTTTAATTAGTCATCATCAATGGGTTGATTGTCTTTCATTTTTGTGCTACTCTTAGTCTTTAGCGAGGTGAGTATCTTTTCGGTTTAACCAGGAACATATATTGAACCATTGAAGTCTTAATGGTAATATCATATCTCACATTAGTATATAGTGTATGATGTACTTTTAATTATTCATGTGTACCCCTAAAAGGTTATATGTACAATACTTCCTCTGTTCCCTTATTATTACAATAATTATCTTATAGGAAGTTTTACTAATATTAATTGCAACATTATATATTACCATACATACACATGGTTTCTCTCTTTTTCTCTCCTTATCACGTACATTGCATAGGTCTCTATCTTTTGTTTCTCTCTATCTCTCTTTGTCTTACATGTTGAGTCTTCCTCCCTTGTTGTAATAATAGGGAACAGAGCAAGTATTATTATTGAAAGAATTCAATGTGTTGCCTTTCTCATTGCTTAACGTCATATTATATACACTTTACAAGGAGTGATCTTAGCCTATAAACTAGGAACTAAATGGCTAAGAATCTGGCATAATATTTACAAGATAATTCTCCTTAACAATTTAGGAGATAAATACAAACTATATATAAATATAGAATATATGATACATATATTTTAACACACCCCCGCAGTCAAAATGGGTGAATCACGAACGCTGAGATTGGCTCGAAAATCTTCAAATATAATACGAGGTAGACACTTCGTAAAAATATCTTTTGATACCGAGAGGGAACATGTAAAACTCGTACTTCGTCCTTATCAACCTTTTCCCTCACTAAATGAATGTCCATCTCAATATGTTTGGTACGCTGATGTTGTACTGGATTCCCTGATAAACAAATGGCACTTACATTATTGTCACAATAAACCAAAGTAGCCTTATGAACAGAAAAATGTAGTTCAAGCAGTAATTTTCGGATCCAACAAGAATAAAAAAACAACATTAGCTACTCCGTGATACTCAGCCTTAGCATTGGAACGTGACAAAGTTGGTTGTCTTTTGGACGATCAAGATATCAAATTGTCACCTAGAAATACACAATAGCCGGAAGTAGAACGTCTAGTATCCGGGCATCCTCCCCATCAGCATCAGTATAAGAAATGATCTTATTGATAGAGGATTTATACAAGTGAAGACCATAAGATAGTGTACCCTACAAGTAGCGCAAAATACGTTTAAGGGCACTCATATGCTCATTCTTGGGATCATGCATATGTAAATAAATATGTTGAACTGCATAAGAGATGCCAGATCTAGTAAAAGTGAGATACCGTAAGGCACCAGCCAAACTGCGGTACTTGGTGGGATCCTCACATGGTGAATCCGTCAAAGCACCCAGCTTTGGTTTGGTGTCAACAGGAGTCGGAGAAGAGCTGCAATTAGCCGTACCAGCTCTTTCAATGATCTCCATCACATATTGTTTCTAAGACAAAAACATACCATTAGCATTGCGGGACACAGCAATCCCCAAAAAATAGCTAAGAGAACCTAAGTCCTTCATAGCAAACTCGCCACCTAAAAGTGCCATGAATTTCTTTCTCAATTGATCTGATGAAGCTGTAAGGATAATATCATCAACATATAACAAAACTTATGCCATATCCAAGCTCTGTCTGTAAATGAACAATGAGTTATCAGATTTACTGTGAGAAAAACCAATAGTGGCCACAAAATCTACAAACCACTGATACCAAACCCGTGGAGCCTGTTTGAGGCCATATATAGATTTCTTGAGTAAACACACATGATCAGGGCGACTTTTGTCGTGAAAACCCATGGGCTAATGCATATAGACTGTCTCATTCAGATAACCATGTAAGAAAGCATTCTTGACATCTAACTGGTGAATAGGCTAAGATTTAGAAATAACATTACTAAGAACAATACGAATAGTAGCCGGTTTCACAACCGGACTAAAAGTCTCATCACAATCAACACCTTGCTGCTGAGTTTTCCCATCACCTACAAGACAGGCTTTATGTCTCTTAAAAGAACCATCGAATTTTCTTTTATGTCGAAAAATTCACATAGACCTAATAACATTCACATCAGGTGGCCTAGGTACCAATTCCCATTTTTATTTTATCAATAAGAGAATTAAATTCATCTGAACATTGAATTTTTCTAATTTGGGTCACGAATAGCACTAACGGGATCCTTAGGTAAGGGAGATATGTTAGTGGAAGTCGTGGTAGCAAGGTTGGAAATATATTTCGAATTTGGTTTGTAGATACCATTTTTCGCTCTTCTTGTTATACGATGGGGATTCGGTTCTGGCAATGGAGTTGGTATGGATGTTGGTTGGTCAAGGGTGGGTTAATGGTTTTGGTGTTGTGCTCGCCTAGCTCGCGTTGGTGTTGGGCTGCTGGTGGGGGACTTGTAGTGTGACAGTACCGGGAGGTGGGCATGAGGGTGATGACCCAGCTGGGGAATGTGTAGGTGACGCTTGTCTTGGAGAGGAAGGCCCAACAAAAGAATGGTTGGGCGGTGGTGGGCTAACAAAACTCACATGTCCAATAGGAGGAGCATGGTCAGTGTCTTGCTCCATATTTTGAGGATTAGTGATTGGAGTATGAATGTGATGGAGTATTGGATTAACATCCAAAAAATTATAGTCGGCTGTGTAAGGAGTATGAAGTTTAGAAAAAGGAAATTCGTTTTCAAAGAATTTAACATGACGACAAATAATTATTTTTCCATTAGACATATCGTAACACTTAGATCCACTATGGTTTGGAACGGGACAAAGATAGACACAAGGAGTGGACCTTTCTTGCAATTTATGAATAGAAGTAGATGGAAACAAGGGAAAACATAGACAACCAAAAACACGTAATTCCGAGTATATGGGATCACATTGATATAGAATTTGAGTGGGAGACTAAAATCCTAAGACTTTGGTTGGAATTATGTTAAGAAGATATGTGGTCATTTCTAGAGCATGATGTCAGAAGGAGAAGGGTAATGAAGCATAAGCAAGTAAGGTCCGGATGATATTGTTTATAGATTTTATGTGGCATTCGGGTTTTCTATTTTGAGGTAATGTATGGGGGCATGAGAGACGAAATAGCATGCCATGTTGATCAAAAAAATCTTTGAAAGGGCCATTTATATATTCTGTGCCATCGTCAAATTAAAAGGTCTTAATGTTACGCTCAAATTGTGTACGAATTAAATTATGAAAAGATTTGAACAAGTGTTTGACTTGGGATTTCTTTGCAATAGGAAACGTCCACAAAAATTTACACTAATCATCAAGAAATAGAACATAATAACAATGGCCAGAAGAACTCATGACATGAGATGTCCAAAGATCACTATGAATTATATCAAAAGGAAAAGTAGTATGCGACATAGAATCATTAAATGGCAATTTTGAGTGTTTCCCGAGAGGACACGAGGAACAAAAAGTCTTACAACCCTTATTACAATCAATAAAAATCTTACTACTAAGAGATCTAAGAATAGCATCACCAGGATGTCCCAGACGATTATGCCAAAGATTGGTTGAAATACCGGTAAAGGCAGAATTATTGATTGGAGGATTGGCTTTAGAGTTCGAGAAAATAGGATGCAGGTCACCGATACTGTCACATCTCAGAATTCTGGCTCCCATCTATAAATCATTGACAGAAAAGCCATGGGGGTCAAATTCAACGGATACAGAATTATCAATGGTGAATATTCGGACAGATATTAAATTTTTAATCAATTTGGGAGCATGCAACATATTGTTTAAATGAAAAGGGGAGTATGGGGATGGGAAAGTAGTACTACCGTGACCGACAATTGGAATTAAATCACCACTACCCACATTAATATTATTGTTTTTAAAACTCGAATTGAAATAAGAGGAAAAAAATACCTTGATCCCTGTCATATGTGAAGTAGCACTGGTATCCATGTAAAAATTTCCGTCAGGTTGAGAATAGGAGAGAGCGTTCATCGCTGCCTCAATATGTATTGGCGTATATCCGCTTGAGGGAGCTACAACACTATATGCTTGAGGTCGCGAGCCCAGAATGCCTGGCCCAGCTGGCCGAGGCCCACCTTGCGGAGTAGAGGCTTGCTTTGGAGCCCAGGTTCCAGCCGAGTATGGAAAAGGGGGAGGGTTGGGCCATTGAGCAAACCAAGGGGCGTATGGGCCAAGCCGGCTGCTTCCAATTAAATGGCACATGCGGCCCATTAAGAGGTGGGCTTGTTTGGCTATTATTGTGATTACGACCCTTCCCAAAACCTTTAGAATTAGATTTCTTTGGTTTTCCACCCTTGGAGCTTGAGCTTGAGGATGAAGTGGAGATGGAGTTGATGTCCGTGCTGTGATGGATGTCAGAGCTGGCGACGAGGGCTATTTGGGAGCGGCTGCCTGAACCACCTTCCTTGGAAAGGTGGTTTTTGATTGTTCGTTCAGCAAGCTTGAGACGAGAGCGGCAACTCTCGAATGTGGGTAGAGGCTCTTGATTTTGGATGATATCCATTGTCCCGACATAGGCTTCTGGCAACCCAACCGTGAGTTTGAGCACCAACTTGCTGTTGGAAATTGGAGCATCCACATGGGCAAGGCGATCGGCCAAGGATTTGATGTGATTGCAGTAGCTATCGATTGATGAGATTTCTCGAAATCAAGATCCGCATGCTCTTCTTCTAGGTGAGTAGCCCAAAAGCCTTGTTGTCTTGGAACATTGACTCGAGACGTGCCCACGCCCCTTGAGCAGTGTCGTCTTTGAGCAAAATAGCATGGAGAAGATCGGTGGATATTGTCCCATATAATCATTGAAGGACCGCGGCATCAAGACGCTTCCATAGAGCTCGGTTTGCGGCTTTGGATGCGGCATAGGCGGTGGCCTCTTTTTCCTCCGTTGGAGGGATTATGTGGTGATGCAAATCATGGACCCTAACAAGAACCTTGAACAAGGCCGCCCAAGAGTGATACATGCCGTGCCCCACATCCAATGTGAACGGGATAAGGGTCTTGACATTGGTGATTGTGAGAGTAGGATGAAATTTGGTTGGTTTGGCCATTGAATAGAGCAACGAAAGGAGAGTAAAAGAAGAAGAAGAAGATAGGCGTTTGTTAGGGAGGATTGGATCGGTTAGGTTGATACCATGAAAGAATTCAATGTGTTGCCTTTCTCATTGCTTAACTTCAAATATATACAATTTACAAGGAGTGATCTTACCCTATACCTAGGAACAAAATGGCTAAGAATCTGCCAGAATATTTACAAGATAATTCTCTTTAACAAATTAGGAGATAAATATAAACTATATACAAATATAGAATATATGATACATATATTCTAACAATTATTACACATTTTAATAATATTATTAAAAAACCTAGTGATTTGTTACACATATGCTAGCATATGATATACCATTCATAACTTCATTTGTTGTACTACTAGAAAAATATATATCATGGTATATTTGTATCATCGAAAGGCATTACAAGATAATCATCGAAAGGTATTACAAGATAATCTAATGTCTAATAGTACTATATTTTCTTATTGATATCTTTAAAAAAGTTAACATTATTTACGAAAGTAAAGTACCTCAATTTGCAGCCATTTACCGGTTATATAACAAGCTAAGGCTTCTCCATCTTTTTCAACAAATGGTCAAATGTTAGGTTGTTGCATTATTCATAATAATAACCTTACTAGCGACTAACAAGAGTTGGCTCAAGTGGTAAGCAGCTTGATGTCGCGAGTTCGAGCCTCACCACCCGGGTCGGATCTGGATTTAGTCGCAGCTAAGCCCCGGTAAACCGGATGGGGCAAACTCAAAAAACAAAAACCTTAATAGCCTATTCATTCATGATTGGTGATGAATTAAAAAAAAATAATAATAATAATAATAATTGTTTGTAAGAACTTCCTATAACATATCCACGTTGGTGATATTGTACATTATTGAGAAATAGATTGAAGGGGTCCCTGAAATTATCTTTGAACTCATGTTCTAACATATGGTCTGATTGGTCTCTATAGAAATGGTCCATTTCTTGTCGACAGATACAAGTATATATTTTTGTCTTTTATTTGACTCACCAAACTTAAGTATAGATGCTGAGTAACAAGTCTAACAAACACCATTAGTCCATTACACTAACCGTCGAAAAACCATGTCATTGTTAGTTGTTATTATAGGGAGTATGATTGAAACTATCACATTCAATTCAGCAATTTTTCTCGTTATATATTTTTAGGGCAAATGTACGTTCCTGCTTGCACAATTAAAACACCATGAGCTGCAAAAAAATGGAGGATGTCTCTCTAACTTTAACAATTTAAACTCAATAAAACGAGAGATTGCTTGTTATAAATACCTGCACGATGTATTTAAAGGTAGTTTTTACTCACTTTGATAATTATTGCTCATTTAATCATCATATATAAGCAAAAAAAATATCCTTTAATATACCTTACACCTAGATGTATATTAAAATTTCACAGTGAGAATAGTTATTTAATGAGTGAGATAATCTTACCTATAAACGATATCAAAACACATTTAAGCAACGTAAATTAATTTTAGCTTTGTGTGGGCTGATTTAGGATGATGTAACGATAATGCCGATGATCATCGAAGCACTTTAATTAGGTCCTCGTAGACTTGTAGTCTACCTAAGTTCTTTGAGGAAACAGAAGTTGTCGTTGCTTACTTGCTTATTCTTGGAGATCGAAGCAGTACATAACTATAGCCTCACAGTAATAATTGTAGATAAAATAATTCGATATGATTCTACCATTTTATCTTCAATTAGGCCTTTCGATGCACGGTTATTACTTATAGATTATTTTTCTTTAGGTGTGTTTTTAAAAAAATTAAAACACCTCATTTTATTACTTAAATAATATAATGTATATTTTTCTTTTTTATTGATAAACATATAATCTATATTTAAGTTGAAGGGAATGTGAAAGAAATAATGTTGGTTACATGTAATCAATTCACTTTATTGATGATTTTAATATTGTGTTTATTAAAAAAACAAAAAACAAAAAATAGGAAAAAATAAAGTTTAATGGTGAGTGTGACATGTGGCACTATTAGTTTGTGTAAAGATTTGTATTATTATATACTAAGTATAGGTTTAGAGGTGATCAAAATTTGGGTCAGCTCGGGCTTTAGTATCAAAAGTCATGCCCAAACATATAATACAAAGTGACGGGCGGCTTTTCAGGCTAGTTTCAGATTTTTAACTAGAAATGTGTTCTTAAGCTTGCTCATACCCGCACTTATTCCGGGTTGGGTCGGGCTTGCGGGTCGGATCATAGTTGATCACTTGTACTTCATTATAACATTTAATTAGGCTATGTTTATTTCCCCTTCCTTCAAAAAAAAAAAATGTTTGTTTCCCCTAATTTTGCGTACTTGACTTGCTCAATCTAAACTTATTTTTTCTGATATGATCTAAATGTTTAATTTGACTAAAATTTGACCTTATATGTACAATAATACATAAGGTAAAATATATTAAATGAGTTTTATTTGATTTGTATCAATGTGTATTATCAAAATATGTAATTTTTAATTTATTTTTTTCATTACTGAATTAAAGATATTTCATAATGAAAAATCAACCATAAGACTATAAGGTATATTCACAATTTAATTTTTTTTAGATCTTATTTAAACCTTTTTAATCCGATCTAATCTAAAATAAGTAATAGGGTGTACTTATATAAGATGAACTCTTATGAATAATGTGGGGACTACTAATTCAAGCAATAAGCTATTTGTATTTATTCATAAGAGAATGTGAATGCGCGAAAACCAATAAGTTGTTTGTATTTTTTGAAGTTCCCTTAATACTATAATATATTTCTTTGGATCAGACCATCTATTACACTGTGTTTGGATAAAGAACTGAGAAAGAAAATAAGGGGAGGGAGGTGAAGGGGAGGGAAGAAAGATGAGTTTTCTTTCCAAATCTCTCCATTGTTGGTGAGATCAATTTCTTACAATTTAGAGCATGTTTGGTTAGTATATATTTAAGATTGGAAACGGGTTCGATTAAACCGATACCATTATCAAGTGTTTGGTTAGAAGGCTTGGTAACCATAACCATTACCATTACCTAAAGGTAATAGTTACCTCACATTTGTTACCTCTCAAAAACTTAGATTAACAAATACCCTTACCCTCCTCAAACACAAACTAATTCCTTTCCATAGTTAAACCAAACAAATGAAAAGGTAATAATTAAGTGATTCCTTTCCCCTCTCTTATGTGTTTCCTTTCCATTCCGTTTCCATCATCCAAACCAAACGCCCCCTTAATCCCTCCATTTCTCCCCCCTCCAATTCCCTTTCCTCATTTGTTATCCAAATGAAAGATAATCGATTCCTCCATTTCTCTTCCCTTTCTTTCCCTCCATTTCATTCAATCCAAACATAAGGGGTGTTTGGTATGACTAATGAAAATGGAGTGGAGAGGAAACAAATAAGTAGGAGGAAATGAATTATTTAACTCTTACCTTTCCTTTTGTCTGGTTTAATCATGGAAAGGAATCACTCAAAACCTATCTTCCTTTATTTTTGTTTGAGGAGAGTAAGGGTAAATGTTACCTTAGGTTTTAGAGAGGTAACAAATTGGTGGAAATTAAACCATTACCTTTGAGTAATGGTAATTGTTACCCAAATTTTCCAATCAAACACTTGGTAACAGTAATGGTTTATTTGAATCCATTTTTCATCAAAAAACACTCCAACCAAACATGTTCATAGCGTTAAGCCTTGAAGTGAGCAAAATTATTTACATTGCTACCTAGGTCATCAAGGAACTCACAATATAATTCATAAAATTTGAGAGCTCTGGACTTACTTGATACTGTGAAGTAGGATAAAAAGTCACCTTTTGACTATGCAAGTTTGTAAGAAGCTAAGTTATCCCTTCGCATTTAATCGTCTACGTGTTCCTTCACAATGATGCCACTTTCCTTTTTTTTTTTCCTGGAAAATATAATTTTCTATATTATGAACATTTCTAACCATTCTTCAAAAAAAAATTTAAAAAAAAAATCCTAACCAAAATCTTTAATTAATGAAGACAATGTTGCGGTGTTAAAGCATGCATCATACCCACGTACTTTTAATAAATATCTTAAACTACTTAAGACAAATTTTACTAACTAAAATGTTTTAATATTCATAGCAATCATTTACTCAGAGTGGAACCCGGTATAATTTTTAAAAGTCATCTGATTGAATGCTTTCAACTAAAGTATCATAGGAGTAGATTTTGGTGTATAATAAGATAGAAAATTTAATATAAATGTAAATTAATTGAACATTATGTAATTGTCTCACTTTAATTTGAAAATTACTATGAATTAATAAAAAATAAACAAAATAAACCAATTTGTATGCATATTCTAATTTAATTTCTTATTTTAAATTAAATGTCTAAAATTTAGCAATATTTATTTAGTTTTACTATAAATTTTGACACGATATCATGTGAGTTAAGGTTAATACAAAATATACACAAAATCTTGTTTCGTTTGCTAAATGAAATCTCTTTTAAGCTTTTTGCAACTAGGGAATGAATATATATATACATATAATTTTTTTTGTATGCTATGTCAAAGTTGTTTCCATAATGTGGTTAGACATTTAGGTGATAGCTTCTAACTCAAGCATGAATGATTAGGCATCACCCATTTAATTTGTAATTGCAGATATGCGATGACTTCTTGTTGAAAACATTGTTCTTTTTCACTAGTGTGGTCAAGCAATGCAACCCAGGCCAAACTCCTTATATAAAAATCTTTGCGATAATGACATTGTTAATTTTCAAATGATCCCCTAAAAAATCTTGATAGGATTCTCTAGTTGTCATCATTATTGGAAGCATTGCAACTAAAATTTTAAAAACAAAACTTTCCCTATGATTCATTAAAGCTAATAATATTTATTAGAAGTAAAGAAGTTGCAAGAAAATATCTCAATTAAAAAAATTAAAAATAAACACACAATATTGCCAATCATATTAGACAAATATGCTGCTGGCAATATCTTGGACAAATGTAGGATAAGAGGAATAGGAAATTCAATAATTGTAAGCAAGAAAACGTGACACTACTTTCTTGGCCCATGCATTATTTATGCACCAACTAAGTAAATAATATTATCATATTTATCATATTTATTTATTTTTTTTATTTTTTATTTTTTGGATTGTTTTCATATCAAGGATAAACAAGTTCTTATATATATTATATAAGGCTGACCACGGCCAATTATTATAGAGATTACTTCGTTAATGTTATAGGGTTATTCGATTAGTATTTTTGTCAGTGTTATAAGGGTTGTTCGATCGATGTTATTGAATATACTTTGTTATTTTACAAGTGGCCATATAACGTGGTCAGCCGTCAAAAAATATGGTGCAACACATTTTTATAAAAAGCAAATTTAAATAAGATAAAATAGTATGACACATCAATAAAAAGTTAAAGAAAATGGAAAGTAAGACAATAGATGCTTTCCAAGTTTACACAACTAACGGCTCAACGGCTAAACTGTCAAGCCATCTATTGAATGCCACGTGGTCCATTGTAACAATAATTCCAAAGTGAGTGACATGAAGCAAAGTGAATTTGACCAAACTGTAATTGACACGTATGTAAGACAATGTTGGGGCCGTTAGAAACCGAGTACTCAGCACTCTTTTTATTATAACGGTCGAAATGCCTTTTAATAGATAATTGCCCATTAGCCGACCGCACTAATGTTTTTTTTTGAGTTTATGCATTTACGTAAGACAGCTTCATGCATATGGAAAACACATGTTACATCATAATATTGTATTTGATATAGTTATGTTATGAGGTTCGATTGCCACGCCCGTTGTAATACTTCCTAGTTCCTACCCTACAGTTGCTCCCTTTGTTCCCTATAAAATATTAATATACA